GTCGCTTCTTTCGTTTCCTCTTCTTGTCCGGGTGTATGTACGTTTATGTAAAGTGCGGTGCTGTGTGCGTGAAATTTATGCAAGTAACTCTTCTACGTGCCCGGTGGGTGGTGCTTTGCACTGTACCAGCTGCTTAACGGGACGGTAAAAAGCGATGCAAGAGGGAGTATTGCGGATTTTCTAAAAACCGACGCTGAAGTTTATTCCGCGGTCAAAATTTGCATAAAGTTTGGCACACGGAATTGTAAAGTGGACGGATGAAAGCGCGCGGCATAGAACCACTTAGGCCGCCATGCTAGATGTCAATTAGCTTGTTGAAAGACAACACATTTACGCGCTCTCCTTTTGATATAATTTGACTCCGCCTGTCAAAAGGAATTGACAGTTCAAATTTGACAGCACTCTGACAAAAGCCAATGACATTGAGAGCCTTTGTGGGCGCGAGCCAAACTTTCAACACACCATTGTTTGACTAGGATTATGTAAACTCGAAAAAATCGCACAATTTGAACATCTTTTGTCTGGCTATTGTTCCCTTTGACTGCTATCATGAGCTCAAAAGCGCCTCCTAGTCTCCGAACGATTCAACCACGAACGTATCGTCGCTGAACTGAACAACCCGTGATCGGTGACATTGAAAAGGAAGTCTTGGCATCCTTGAAATACCGCAGTGCGCTTAAATATTGGATTTCAGATGTTTCCGACGGCCAAAACATTTTTTACGCCGAATTCGATCAGTATCACGGCTATCAGTAAAGCAGGCGGCTGTAAGACTCCGATCGAAACGGAAAAGCTTTTGTTGCCGAGATTTACTTTATCTCGTGATAAACCTTATGTTGTTGTCACTAAAACATGTCAAAACACTCCCATTTGCAAGTGTTTATTTACATACGGATTTTCAAAACAAAGGCCCTACAGTTAGCGCATGTTAATGAGAATTTTGTATTCTCCTGCACTTAGTGGCATGTTCGAGACAAACGTAGAACATAACGCCGCAATCACAGTGAAAAGCCGGTGCAAAGAAAATTCACTTTCTTGTGCCATCTGCCTCTAAGAGGCTCTCCAAGCGCGAAAATGGGCAACCACAGATTTTGATCATTCGAATTGGCTCCTTACTGTCGGACACAAACCCGCATAACACAGCGATTTACTAACGTGTCGGTTCAGATTTTGGCAAAAGGCATTCTCCGCAACAGTTTAATTTCCAAAAGTGAATTATTCAACAAAACCGACAGAAGTTTCTATTTTCGTCGATATTCTGATGACAAAACCTCGAATGTTAATGAAAATTTGTCTGAAGCTCTTCCTTCGCAAAAAGACGCGAAAAACGCTAAAATTATGTTAACAACCCCCATGTTAATCGTTTTAGTTTTAAGGATTTCTTAATCTGGGAAATAGATTTTGCCGATTCAGAATCTTAAATCGTTTTTTAGCGAGAAAACCTTCCTCTAATGATAAAGGCCTTACACTTCTTGGACGCATTTCAAACGAATACTTGTGTTTTTGTGTCAGTTTTTAAGCCGTGTTAAACCTCTCTCTGCCAGCTTTGGTTGAACATGCTAATTTGTCAAATCACCTGTTTCAGATCAACACCTGCTTCTACAACCGCGTTCAACAAAGAACGCGGGCGATGAACTTGTTCAAAGAACATAAGTTCCCCTCAAATTTAAGTTCGTAATTTATTTCTTTAGCTGCAAAGCAGATTGCCTTTGTATGACCCCAATAAAGTATTCTTCAAAGTATTCGTGTAGAGACTTATCTCCGGGAAGATCCCGCGCTTCGGTGGAAGCGTTTCTTTGGCCGCGGGAAAGAACGAGGCTGCAATGCAAGACGGTGAGAGCTCTGCAAGGGGTCTGGCATTGGTTATGAGGCTGGGGCCTTCTCGCAGGTTATGTAGCGACTCATCGGATTAATGCCTCGATTAGTATTGTATACATTATTTCCAAGAAATTTATAGTCAAGAGGCTCAGTAAATTATTTCTTTAATTATTTAGCAAATTGCTTTTAATTAAAAGAGAACTTAAGGTAACGATTTGTGGAAGAAGTCAAATACCAAAAATATCTGAATGAACCTTGAGGAAATAAGTATGGAAAGGGATGAAGTACTTAAAACGGATTGGAGATGAATAGCTCGAAAGAGTCAGTTTTTATGACTCGCCGACTTTATTTTGCACACCTTGCGTGCCTATGTAAGTTTCTCACAGCCTTCACGGCATGTAAAGGCCAGACTGATTCAACATTGGAACATGAAGATCTTTCTCATGTTGATGTAAAAAGATTTTGTATTTCCTTCATTCCTAGTTAAGCTATTTTACAACAATAAAAATATGGAGAAGTGGAGAGAAAATTTGACAGATTATCCCTGAAAAGCTTTTTAAGAAATCGATTGCGTGCTGAAAAGCTTTACGCTTTACGTGACGAACCAGGCGCTTGTCAATGTACGGTCACGAATTTAGTTATGGTAAACCTTGTTCGCCCCGCATGAATTCTGGCGCCTACTGTCACCCTCGAAACGAAGTCACTTCCAGTCGTACAGCGTCATGTACGCGCCATTCACATTTGCCACTCACACGAGGATCTTTCAAGTCGAGAAAGGCGAATGCCACTGCCCCCTCCCCCCTTCTCTACCCCGGGCTTGCTCTGAGGTGTCCACAGAGTCAACGCCAACATCAGACAACCTTTTCTTCGGTGTTTTCTAACTTTTGCTGTTCTCTGAGCAATTAAAAACTGCATGCAATTCTACAATTTTCATTTTCCTTTATGGCCGGGCAATGCCGGGTCGTGTAAACTGACTTAATCTAACTTCCAACTCACCCTTAGTTTCCCACATCCATTGAAGAGAAGAACTGCTCTGCTGAAACTTAAGTTGTTCAAATTCCTTCAGTTCGCTTTTGATTTAAGAAGAGTAATGTCAATACACCGTTACACTTTTTCAATCTGCTCCGAAACCAAATAATCAACAACCGAAGATCATTATTTTTGTTTGTTTTGACTGTTTTGTTTTGCCTTTTTTTTTTCGTTATGTCGTTATTTCTCAAAAAAAAAAATGGGAGTCAGCAATGGCCGGGACTTCATGCCAGATTTCCACATGGCCTCAGCATTTTTTCTCCTGCGCGGACCCATTTGTGATGCGATTTTCGGATCAATGTCCGTCAGCAACTGCGCACATACCCCTCCCATAGCTCATCAACGGTCATTTTAATCTAAGATAGATTTACCACTACGGTTGGTCTAGGGGAGGGGTAGGCACGCAGTTGGTCAGATACTAACATAGATCCAGATTTTCATGCTTTCCTCTCTACAACTAAGCAATGGGTTCACTATTAGGGCGAGGTTTTATCGAGTCGTTTTCGATTGGATTCACGTTAATTTTGTGCAGGGCAGTTACTGCTCAAACACTTTCGGTCTTGAAATCATTTCAACCCACGTCGATTTCGAGCATCATTTAAAACGAGTTTGCGTTGAAGGTGGCCTTTTGCACGCTCGATGACAAAGGAGCAAGCCACGATGGCGCTAACATTCAAGATTATCTGAACCCATAACCACCTTATCAAGAGCTTCAACCTGAGATTTTATTACAATCGTTTTTTGATTGCGATAAAATATGGCGGTTCCGGAATTCATTAGTCTGGGGGCGATAAAGATCCAGTCGGCAGACATTCCATTAGACGGCGATGATTGACGAGATAAAGCTTTGCTTTGAACTTGGAGTAATAACACTTGACATGATTAGAAGGAATGCGATGTTAAAATGCACTTAAGATCAGTTTTATAAGATGCTCTTGAAAATATTAAATGTTTCTCAACCATCTACGGATACAAGATTACTGGCGCGCGACTTAAAGCTGAGTCACGCGTTAAGTTCGGGTGGAAGGGAGGGATCATTCTGTAAAGCTTTGTACGGGGAGTCGTCGTCCATAGTCCCATACCTGCCAGCGGCTTTAAAAGGCTAGAGGTTAACGTAAAATAAAATATTTTTTGGCCAAGGTGGCCCATTCCGCCATTTACCCTTTACTGGTCATTTCCTTATAAATTTGAGCCCGTGGTTCCTATATCAGTCTGGTCAGTTGTGAATGAGAGTCAAGACACTCATTCTTTCTGAGCTCTTCCTGGAAAGAAGAGACGCATTGGAAACTAGTTTTGATCCTGATCCCTTTCAGGACAACAGTCAAGCTGACTGAGCACTGTCCAAGAATGTTTTAAGTCTACAACACATCAAAAAGAAGCATTTACTTCATCAAAGAATTCTTGCAAAATCAAAAATCCGTTTATATAAGAAAGTCTCGGTTTTAGGAGCTACCTGTAAACAAAAGACAAGGTGCATTGCAGTGAAGATGTATCATGCCACATGTTCAGATGACAGAAATTCGTCGGTGTTTCCACAAGGACACTGAACTGTGACTGGTTCTCCCATTAGAAATCGCCACGCCTATAGTAAGGTAGAAGATAGGTTTTTCAGGTTGACTGTGGGACGATGGTAGGAATAAGCCTCTGGTAGCGAAACATCACGCTCTGAATCAGCATTATGGCACAATTTTTAAGGACGGAGCCTTTTGAAGAGACAGTCAAAGAGTGGCTGTAGCCTCAAATATGTTTTTTTCTGCTTATTTCGCTCATACGGTGCCTAATCAGAAGACAAATACTGATTGCGACCTCAGACGTTTTCTCTTAAAATCTGCAGATTCTAGTCTGTGCCAAACTCTTGGTATTTGGAGGAGGTCTAGGAAGGAGTGACGAGAGGGGCAAGGAGGCGAGTGTAACCTCCTTACAAGGGTCCTCTTTCTTAGTAAATCCCTCTCCTTATCCCCCTCTGTTTTTTTTTCTCGTGCTTCTATCTTCAATCTTTAGAATGTCTCTATCAGAAAAGTAGATTCATGTTGGACTTAAGACACAGTTTGGAATAAAGGCAGCTTCGGTAACTCAGATGGTTCAAAAGGAAAAATTTTCGCTGTCATTCAACCGGACCTGAGCAAACTGAAGTCAAAGAAACACTCTTGCACTGAGGAGAACGATACTTTGTATGTAGTCTTCACCACATTGACTCTTCACTGATTCGTATTGACTCAAACAGGAGTTGTAGGTTTTCAAGAATTGCTTTGCAAGAGTTATGTAATCGCTACCAAAAGGGGCTGCAAATCGTCAGCAGTTAAATCTCTCTGAGATAAAATGTTCTTAGTTTTGCAACTTTAACTACGGGACTGTGTCCAAAGAAGAAAATGCAAGTTCTGTCAGAAGCCCTACATCTCTATACTGTCGTATGGCACGCTTAGTTTAATATTGTAGTTGTACCCACTGGTGTCGTCATAATTTGAAGAGCAAATCTCCGGGATTCCCTTTGTGGCATTGCTCGCCGAGAAGTCAAACGTGCGAATGACTCCTCGATGACGTCGATGAAGAATCAAATCATCTGCATACCAAAGATTATCACGTGGTGTTCTATCCAATGGAATGTTTGCCGTGATCATCCGGGGACCTTGAAATTTGCAGAGTCTCACAGGGTGTCGCGCATGAGTCGTCCATAAAGTTGACGTCATCCGCTGGTCCCAGACCACCAACGTTCCATCCTCTGCACCGCTGACCACTTTCCAATCGTCCATTTGCACCGCAGTTACAGCTCTTTTGTGTCCCAAGTGAAATGAAAGCGCCATCTTTTCACTGCGCAGGTCAAACACGCGTACCCTGCAATCGTAGCTGCCTGTCACGAGACGATGTGGAGGGCAATTGGCTAGATCAAGACAAGTGATCTCGCGATAGTGAGATCCCAATATGGAAATCATTTTTGAGGTTTCCAGACTATAAAGGCGCACCTAAAAATTACAGAAAAATAAATTAAAGTCGGTTTGCTGACAACATCGTGACAAAATACACACGCACAGAACCTTCTTTTATTTTTTTCAAAACAAAATTCTTCTTGATTGTGAAAGTCTGGCGGTCAGATGTTCAGGCTGAGATGGACCACAACTGGACAAGGCAAAAAAAAGCTATTTAAGAACTGGACAAAACAGAGAAGGAAAAGCTTTGATGGCCTATGCTCCTGGAAGAGCTGAGGGTATAACTAACTAACTAACTTATTCTGAGTTTCAGGTGACACTGTTACTAAACTTGAGGTACACAATAAAAAATAACGATTTTTTTCTTTCACATATTTCACAGTCACTAGGAGGGAAATTTGATCATTCAAAAGGCTGCACTCTCTGTTCATGAGGTAGACCATCACCAAAGGTGTATGCCAAACTTACAAATTCATAAAACTGTAGCCGCAAACAATTGCTATCTTAAAATGGGAATTGTTAACAATTTTATACCCAAGCTAATTGTGTTGTTATGTCCAAGGTTTTGAACATTTTGAAGGATTTCAACTTATTGTTAGTTTTTTTAGCTCTTTTTCTTCTTTTTGTGCTTGTAATAAACAACTCTTTGATTTGGTTTTGCCTTAGTAATTACTATCCATGAACCACTTTGATAGGCTTTGCCCATTTGCTTACAAGTAAGCTACATTGTGATCTAGATAAACCAACAAAATTACTTTGTTTCCGAGGGTTCCATATCCATATGAACCCACACCAATTGCAAGCTGATCTGGAGTACAGTCCATGCAAGTTAACTTTCCACCAATCACATGATCCATTGTTGATAGAAGACCTTTGCCAGGTGCCAGGATTGACACAGTATCTTGAGTTGCTATGGCAACATGTTCAGGTAATGAGTGTGAAGCAGAGTTTGGGATAAACATGGTGTTGCCAATCTGTGGAAGAAATTATAAAAGTCATCAGAGTTGAGTATCTCTCCATACAAGATGCTTTCAGTACTGGGGAAAGTTTCAATAGTTTTGAGGTTGTTTTACCTTCTCATAATTCCTTGATTCTACACATGACCACTGTCCATTGACATCACTGGTATGTACCTTGAGTACATGATCTGACAGGGCTACAAATGCTAGTGGACCACTTGTGGCCAATGAAACACCCTTAATAGATTCGTGACAGTGAAAATGGTACAGCGGTGAGGAACTCAAGTTATGGGACCATACACAAACATCACCTATGAGTTCAAAGTGTCAGTAATTTAGTACTGTGGGAAACAGTACCAGTATTTAATTCAGTTGTTTGATAGAAATTAGCTGAGTGTTGTATAGTTGCAAATCTTTCCACGAAATATTATGCACTCATCAATTCCAAGGGGGCCTCCCTCTCCCCCCAACCTGGGCAACCCAAAGGCATTTGACTGTGATCCACACCCAGGGATGGAGAATTTGAACTTTGCCTATGTGGGGTAGGGAATTTGAACCTGAAATGACAAATCTTTCCAGCATAACACACATTTTATCTTTTACTATAGAGGTGATTAAAGGTAAAGAATTTGCTTTGGCTTCAAATTGATGGACACATTCGCTTTGAGCACAAGTCCTTTTGGGTGACATCAAAGGTAATACAGAAACAGATGAACAAATTTGCTAGGGGAGGAAGAGCTGTCCTTCATTCAACCTAATTACAAGTAATGAATGAGTGATAATGGCAATGAATGAATGAATGAATGGTAATGAATGAGAACTGAAAAAATTATTACATGTAACTCAAAGATATTGACTCAATACAACACAAAATTCTCTTAAGATGTGATACCATTGTCAAACCCAGCTACACACAACTTCTGGTTGATGGTAGTTGATGTGACATGCACTCTCTGTCTTTGTGAATTCACTGAATCGGATGAGATCAGTTCTCTGTAACTTGACACATTTTCAGCATCTCCTTCCCATACAACGACTGCACCACTTGAGTATCCTGAACAAATGAAATTTCCATGGACAGAAACAGCACAGAGACCTCCACCTGTGGGGATAAAACCATCAAGGATGAGGATTGGTTGGTTAGAAATGATTCTGAATTACAGCATAATATCTGGTAAGCAGTTTTCTGGTGGACTAGGAAAATGCTTGCTTATGAAAAGTGTCTGCTTATGAAACTATAAAGATGCCAGGATCTTGTGTGAATGAGGCTGAAATATGATGTCCACCAGAAAGAACTGCCTGCATGTATGACATGTCCACTTGTGGAAGTTTTGTTGTGTAATTATAATTTTGAGTCCTGGTAATATCATCTGTTAATATACATGTGATTGTTGTGCATTGCTAGTCTAATAATAGAGACAGGGTTTGTGGAATGACCAAAACCAAAGACTGATGGTTACTTTTTTTACTAAATGGAATAGATTTTAGTTATAGGACAATTCCAGTGTGCACAGCCAATTCTCTTGATTTATGTTGACAATATTGCATAACTAAAGAATGGAGCTACAATCAGCATCAAAATTAGTTGACATGTTGTGTTTGAAGAGTTTTATTCATAGGTAGAATAACACACCTGTTTCTACCACACTCAAAATCATGAACAAGACCCCCTTCCCCATTAAATGTTGGCTAAAAGTTCATGGAATTATGATAGGACATTGTTTTGTGTCAAAGGGGGCCAAAGGGGTAGCTTATCAAGGGCAAAAGAGAAAGACTGAAGTAAAAGGGGGTTGAAAAGATCAATGTGTCAACAGTTTAGTGGCTGATTGAAGGTCCAGGGGTTTAAGGTTAGTAGCCTGCAGTGTGAGAATATTTTTGCATTCATTTCTTCATAAAAAGTTTGGCCACCATCTTGGATTTTTTAAGACAAGGAAGGTTAAGGAGGGAAAAAAATATCTAATGGGGAGGGGGGTTTATTGGGCCAGGGAAAAGTGGGGGTGGGGGTGGGGGGAGAGAGAGGGGGTAGGTACAAGTTGAAATATTTTATTCCTCTTTACCTACCCCATCTCCTATCCACACATTCCTGGCAAGAGAGAAATGTTGATGAGGAAGGGGGACAAGAAAGATGATTCCTTCACTCTGTCCACTTCAATGAAGAGGAAAAAGGGAGAAGAGAAGGGAAAATAAAACAATTTGTTCTCTTCTCATCCTTCTTGTCTTGTTCAACTTTGGACAAAAGGAGTAAGGGGGAGGGGGAATGAAGAGGAAAAACATTCTTATCTATCCCTGTCCCACCCCTCTCCTCCCCTCCCCTCCCCTCTCCATCCACTTTGATCCCACCCAAATCAAACATTGAATCCTAGCACTAACTAACTCTCCCTAAAAGATGGGAGACAAGAAAAAGAGTTTTGCTCTTTCCAAGAAAGAAAGCTATTCATCAGCAAACCTCTCTCAAATTCCAAACTGGACAATCTGCATATTCTTTCCTTCCAGTTCCTTCTCAATTCTCTTTCCTCTAAAATGCTATCTCGTACAAAACTTTTCCAGTTTTCTCTGTCTATGGTGGAAGAGTGTCTCTTTTGAACATAACCTAGTTTACAACCTACATGGTACCATATCAGTTCATCCTCTGCCAGAATTTTCCAGGCCTTGCTAACCTGAGCACAAGCACAAAGGTCTTTGATTCCCAAGTCAGTGAAAATCTGTAATCCCACTTCTTTGGGTAAGCTCAAATCAAAGAAAGGAATACTTGTAATTTCATCAATGTCTTCTATCAGTTGATCTAGAAGACTCTTCTTTCTTTTATCAAGTTTTTCAGAGAACAATTTTTGTTGTACTTTTGAGTCACTCGGTGTGTCATTGTTAACCTCTCCAGTTTGAGGTTGCGGTAAATTCAAAAGAACAATATCATCATTTACATTGACAGATGATTTTTCTTCTGTCGTCTTAGGAAATTTTACAGAGCACGATTTATCCGTGGAGCATCCTACAGGATGAAAATGACGTACTTCCTCTTTGAAATCAACAAACGCTCTCTCAATGTCGCCTTGTTTGAAATTTTGACATTTTTCCAGATTCCCCTTGTGGACTTGTATATCTTGTTTTGTTTTGCTGAGTTCTTGCATCCATTCGCGACGGAAACATTTCAACTCCTCATTATCTCCGGCTGAATACATTTGAAAATAAATTCCTGTTTTTCAAAATCTCTTCAAATTGTAATTTCCGGAGAAATTCTTTGTCGCTAAACATAAGAATTCGCAGGGCCTATATTGGTTTTCTAGAAAAACCGCTGATCGAAATTAGGAATTTGCGCATGCTCAGTACAATCGGCTTGGGTATTCTTCAAAAAATAATTCATAGATCAGGGCCGAGAAAAGGGAACGAAGAAAATGTCCCGTTCTCGGCCTTGCAAGAAGTTTTCTTCTCAACAAATTCCACTGCTATGTGCAGCATTGCTCCTCATTGGAACCTCAACTCTGTTCTTCGTGTTCGTGTAAGAATTGAAGGTTTCTGAGTTCGTGTTTCGAGTGCTTTTGCTGTGATCATGCCCACGCGAAGCGCCCAGCCTTGGAGGATTTCAGTTGATGACAAGTTTTATTTATTCCTTTTTAGCTGCCCCCATTTGGCAAATGAATATTCCATTGCTATCCCTGTCTACGATGGAATCCTTACTTTGATAGTTTTGGCCAGTTTCGCCAATGCTTCACTAAGAGACCCTGGCGTAATTCCCAGAGGTAAGTTTGCTGTAAATAGTGAATTTTTAACTTAACTTACAATCAGGGGCCTCTCCAGACGGCCACGGTAGAACGTTATAATTATTGTTTATTTACCCTTGCTTGTGAACGGCTCCTTTTCATAGCGTTATTTATAATAAAGGTTGAAACTCAACTATAACCGATTTTAGAGTAAATTTCCGAAAGACGGGAAAAATAAACGCTCCCTGCAGCTGCTTTCTACAATGTATGTTATTTCCTGTTCCTTCGTTTTATAGACGGAGAAAGGCTTGACACAACTGTCTAGAAAAGCCTAACGTTATTTTAAATGATTAAGAAAAACAGCGGACGCAATTTCTTGGAAACCTCAATATTGAGACGAAAAAACACGTTAACGATACCGACAAGCGCAGCACACATACGCCATGGCCTTTTAAAGTTTTAACCATTTAATCTCGCTTAGCTATTTATTGCTAAATTCTCATGTTATTGTTAGAACAAACTCAATTAAGCAGGTCACACGAACAAGAAATGTGATACTTCGATGAATTCGAATTCCTCCCAAATAGACATCTGCTGCAAGGAAGTGAAATGTTATACTGAATCATTTATAAAGACCACAATTTACTTTTATTTTGGAATAATGACATGTATCAACGGATCATGCTATATCTCTGGACTGAGACAGATATTGATACTTAAAACATTGTGTTATATTGTTTACAGATTTAGTGTCAGACATGATGTAATTGTTTTAACTACCAAAAAAAATACTTAAAAATAAATTAAAAACTCATGATAGTACTTTCTAAAGACATGTTTGGGCATGACTCATGCAGTCATCAGTTAATAATTTTGTATCCATTTACTTTGTGTATATTTTCAATATACCTGTCTGTTTATGGTTTTTTCTTCATGATTGTGTAATGAAAGTTTTTTTTTTCCTCAACATGAAATTTATGGCATTGAAATTTGCTGCTCCTAGGTAATTAAGCAAACAATCTTTTGCTCTGATATGCAAGCGTTATTAAGTGAATATCGGTGTCTTTCTATAAGTGAGTGAATAGTTAAGTCATATAGATTTGTTTCAATAAAATCTGTGACCAAAAAGAAAGATAGTTGTAAGGTTTTTTATTTATTGATTGATTTATTTGCCACACTACAATAAAAATTTCTAAGGAAGCATGATAAGCTAAGATGTAACGTAAGGAAACCTATATGAAACCACAAGAGTTATATGATGTTACATTTCCTCTGAAAAGAACAAAAGTGTGCATTGATATGGAACATCAAACAAAATGTAGAGGTGTGAAGCCAGATTCAGATCAAGGGGAAAAGAATAAAAAAGGAAAGGAAGAAGTAAATAATTCTTGATTGAGAATTTTGCTGTATATTATCAAAAGGATACTAGAATTGAAGTGTTTATAATTTTGCAACTTAGGGTACTGAAATACTTGGGACCTTAAAAGGAAACAGAAAACTGTGTTATATTTTTCCTTGAAAGGTTAAGGGTAAAAGTAATAAAATTTTTGTTGCAATAAATAATTAGGTTAACTACTGGTGTAGCATATCTGTAGCCTACATTTGATATTTGCTTTGCAGAAGAAACATCAACTTCTGAGCAAGAGGATGACTTCAGAGCTCCTCTATACAAGAATGTTGATATCAATGGCATTACAGTTCGCATGAAATGGTGTGATACCTGCAAGTTTTACAGACCACCACGATGTTCACATTGTAGCATTTGTAACAATTGTATTGAGGTAAGGGTTTATTATCATCAACATAACTACTACTGTTATCTCTACCAGTCTATTCTTTCATGAAATTACTTGCTCAACTTCAAGTTTGAACTGTTAAAAGCACCACAGTTTTGTTGTAGCTAATACTGAAAGGAGGAAAGTGAAATCTAGTTGTGTATTGAGCAGAAATGTTTCAACAACATTGCTGGTGGAGTTAGTCATTCTCCAAAAGTTGTTATATTATCTTCACTTTGGTTAACCTTTTACTTCCATGAGTGACCAAAACAGAATTTCTCTCCACAATATCAATACAATATCAAGCAGGCAAGTGATAAGAATAAAGCAAGATATCAATTAGAGGATTGTTAGTTGATCCAATAAATATCACAAGCACTGTATACCATACAGCAAGGAGAATTACTAATGAGATCTTGAGAGTGGTAGGGTTAAAGAATAATTTCCAGTGACCTTGTTCCAGGTCTGGCAACAATTCCAGTGAAATACTTTATTGATGAGACATATTTTCCTTTTTCTCTTTGCAGAATTTTGATCATCATTGTCCTTGGGTAGATAACTGCATTGGCAGGAGAAATTATAGATATTTCTTTTTCTTTGTGTTTTCTCTGTCTGTTCACATTATATCTGTATTTGCCTTCTCTTTGATATTTATTCTTGAGAAAAAGGATGAACTGAGGGAAGCAGCAGTGGCGTATCCTTACCCTGATATAAAATTCTTACTGATATCTTTTACATCAATGGAGGCATGCACAGCAAATTTACGGTGTATGTTTCGAACAAAATTTGGCTGCTCTTTATTCCTGTGGCTTTCTCTCGAGGACCAGGTACTTTCAATTGTAATTCTTTCTTTTTGACTGACATACAGACTTTTAATTGTCAAGTGTGAAACTTAAGACCTGGTCAGGTCAATATAACCAGGCATTAACTTTCATGTTTTAATCAGTCATCTTGGGGATTTGATTTGTCAATTAAATATAGGAAGATTGATCATTCGTGGGTATCAAATGAGAAAGACAAAAATATTTTGTGTATTGATATACATGTATACTTAGCCGAGGAAATGCTTTAATGCATTTCGCTGTGTTCAAGTCATCCCTATGTTTGTGGGTGTCGTGTATGTTTGCCACCTTAACTTCTGACACAGAATAGCTATTATGGTGGTGTGTGGACTAACGTCTATTCCAGTGATTGGATTAACTGTGTTCCACATTGGACTGGTGGCTATGGGACGCACAACTAATGAACAGGTGATAACTAAGGCAATTTAAAGAGTCTAATGATGTATTAACATGTATAAACAAGTAATGACATTTTACATTAATTTTTTCTTATTATTTCTAATGATTTATTGAGCATCAAATTTGAGGATTATTTCTGATTTCATCAATAGAGGCATGAACCATGTGATTTTCTTTAAATATCCTGAATCTACAATCACACTCAAAATTATGGGTTTTTGTCATCAGAATGGAAAGGTTTGAAGCATATATATTTTGGATAAAGTTCACAATTTTCTAAATATTTCAATAGAACCCCATTTGGAATTCATACTGTTGTTTTGTTTAAAAAGTTAAATTTAGATGCTGAAAGTACTTGAAAAAAGGTACAACCAACCCACTAGAAATGTTGCAAAATTAGGTTTTAATCAAGGCCATTTCTTCCCCAGGAGCAGTAACATGGGCAAAGTCCGGATAACTTAGTAAATAGCAGTGGCTGTTTTTCAAACAAACTATTCATTTATAATTTATTTCATAAGAAATTGAAGTAACCTCCGATTGTCTATTACATCTTTTCCAAGGTGACGGGAAAGTTCCGCAGTGGTCATAATCCTTTTGATAAAGGCTGTAAGAACAACTGCTTGGTGACACTTTGTTCTTCTCAATATTCAAAGTAAGGAGTTTTGGGGTCAATTTTTCATAAGCATACTGATCTCCATACTGAGGAGCTTTTATATTTTCTTAAGTCAATGATGTGCAGTTAAATGATGTTTCGCCCTTTATCCTGAGATCTCATCAGAAATTTTGCCGTATTGTCTACTATACAATTCTTATGATGTTAAATCAGAGAATTTGGTATTGGATAGACTAGTAATATAGAAAACAGTATGGAGAATGTGCACATTGATGTTCGGGTGTAGAGGATAAATCAATAGCAGCTACTGGGTTAGAGTTAATTACTGGATTTCCAGGGAATTGGGAATGGTTCTCTATCTAATGGCTGGTTGCAACAGGGTTGTAGCTAGTACATTGCTCAAATTATTATCAAAGGAAAATTCTGAGTCATCATTATTATTATTCTTTCTTCCTCTCTTGTTGGGATGAAAGGCCTCTTCCTTTTCCTTTCCCTCTCTCTCTCACTCTCCAGGCTGTTCTATCCTTTTCAGTTGTGGAAAGAAGTCAAAGCACGAAAAAGTACACATGTTTTAAAGATTTTCACAACCATTAATATTTTTTAAATTTTTGTTTGTGTAGATATATTGGTTATATGGAAAATGTAGCCAAGGAATCCACTAAGAACAAAAAGAGAATAGAGAAGAAAAAAGAGAAAGAAAAGGATGCAAACAAATCTGTTGATGTTGAGTTAACTGAAGTTAAAGTTGAGGTGACAAGTAATCACTCCAATCAAAAGTCACAGGTATACCACCACAGTGAACTGCACAGGCTACTTATTATTTGAATTCCTGCATTTTAATTCTCACTACAGGTTAACCCTAAGACCTTCCAAATGACTAGCATCTAATTTTTCCTTACAGTGTTACTACTGAATCAAATATTAAGGTCATCAGAATACAGGAAATGATCACCAGCTGAAGAAGCTTTCAATCGTTTTATTAAACAAATTCTCCTTTTCAGTACCATGAGAAATGTAAAGAGAACAGCATGGAAATTATGCATAGTGATGTTTGGGTGTAAAGGGGTAAGGTACTGTCAAGAATGTAGGTACATCTAATGCAGGGCTCTTGCTGGAGTCTGGGAAAAAATGCATGTACCCTTAGATGTATTAGAGCCTTACATGGAAAACAAACACACTTCAGAAAATCACCCCACTATTCATTACAGACTAGAGCTTATCTTATGTTAATATGCATGATTCTCCTAGAAACTTAGAATGCAGTAGAAACTTAAACATGTTAAAGGAGTATTCTGTAGGGCTATGCAGGATGTTAGGGATTGTGTGGTTGTGATTGAATTCTGCCACACACTCTGTTTAGAATCCCTTTAGTCATTGGAAGCAGGAAAAATTTCAATTAATCCTTTAACCCCTAGAAGTTACAAGCATCTAAATTTTCCCCACAGCAGTGCTGCTAAACTTGAACCGTAAGGTCATGAGAATAAACAAAATGAATTGCCAACAAAAGAAGCTCTCTATTCTCCTTGTTAATTTCATGGGATATCCATAGAAAACAGTACAGAGAATAAGCATACTGAAGTTTAGATGTAAAGGTTGAAAGGATTTTCTTGAATTTAAAACTAAATTCTCAAGAGAAACCAACAAAGATATATGTGGATGTCTGAAAATTTCCTTTCATATTTTGGAGGTGAATGGGTTAAATCTAGTGTGACTTAAGTTGAGATTAAGCTCACTAAACACTAGGTTGATGTCATTTTATTATATTGAATTATGTTTTATAACATTATGATTAATATTTTCAGGATGATAGCAGAGATGGTAGAGATAGAAATAGTCATCAGATGAGGTCTCAAGATGGCAGATCTTCTGTCCCAGTAACTACTGCTCCTCCACGAGTTTCAGCAACTTATGTGAAGTCAAGTGTAAATGGAAGAACAATAAGTGGCAGCCGTGAAGTCACAGTTTAATGTCATGTTTGTATGCTATACAAGATAATAACCTCTATTGCTACTGCAGTCCAAGGTGCTGAGTATAAACCTTGAATTTCATGGAAGCAGTTGATGGATGAATTTGCTGCTTTTCACCAGGATTAGCCAGTGCTCACCTGTAAATTTAACAAGGCATGTCTTCGGAAGCAAGTGGTACAATCAATGGGAAGAGAGGCAGAAATGTTGGATACACAAGATTTGCTGTGCATAAATTTACCCCTAATTAAGATTGTAATCGTAAGGACTGACTTTTTTTTAAGGAAGTGAATTTGTCAGATCTAAGCAGGTTGCAAATGTGAGGGTAACTATGCTTCATATCTGCCTGCATTGCTGAATTAATAGTTAACTCATATCTTTTCATGTCAAAGTACATGCAAAATATACTGCGTATTCAATCTACCTTAAAAGGACTGTAATGAAGAGTATAAAGAATCAGTGATTGCTGCACATGGTTTCAAACACAAACAGTTGGGGTAAAAATTGTTGCTGTTAAAACAGTTGATGGCAGTAGTATACTGTAAATAATCTGAAAAAAGTGTTGTATATTATCTGATGCCTATAGTACTAATTAAAAGAAGTCGTTTGATTTTTAATTTTTGTGTTGCTATCCTGTTCATGTTAAATTCACAACTGTGCTATTACAACGATTGTTATAATAATAAATTACATATTTTTTAGTGCTTTTGTTAGTTATCATGATAATAATGATGAATTGGTGCTTTGTATAGTAAGTAATTACAGAGTTAGGTTATTTAGAAATATTTCCGTTTTGGCAGCTATCATTCAAACAAAGGATATAATATGTTCTTCGATTTGTAAACTGCATTAATTTGAAGAAGTTTTCATGGTGAGAGTTATAAATGGCAGTGAGTGCTGTTGTAAGAAAACAGTATATTTTTGTGCAATGTAATAAATTGCATGGGGAGGAAAATTATGTTAGCCATTGGAAAGCGGAAAAATATAGAGACAAGAGGTAAAATGTTGAATATTACTTTAAGGGATCTTTAGACTGGTTAGCATCCTTTGTACCAAGTGGGAAGAGGCGTTAATTAACAATAATTTAACATAGTGTAGAAATGCACTAAATTTCTGTTAGATCATTATTTACTCACACAGATCTATCAATACCACATGGTTCCTTTACTGTACAAGTAGCTTACTGTATTTATCTCAACTTGCATTTTATTTTCATTTTACTTCAGGAATAAATTACTCATATTTTGACAAATTGTCAAAATGTCATTTGATTGTAGACTCAGATAATAATTCCTCAAATCAACTGAAACTGCAGTTTCCAGTCTTGTGATTGGTAGGAGACATTTTGAAAAGCTCTCTGTGGCTGATCTGTTCTTTGTGTGCTTCTTATTTTGTGGTTTCCATCGACCTTCAACATGGCTAAAAAATGAGTAGGGGATCCAGTCATTAATTTGCTTCTAGAGTTCATTGACACCCACCTTATAGGCATACTTGAAACAACAGATAAGCAATTGTTTGATATCCTTTTGCAGGCTTTGGCATAGTGGTCATCTGTAGAATATTTTAACTTCAGGTTTTAAGTATATAAACACATTTCAGAATGCCCCATTTGGTCAAAGAGAATATGAATGTAAATCAAATGCATTGGCAGGGTTTAAAAAAAAAAACACAATTGTGCAATTATTTCAAGTTAGTCAAACATTTCCCCCCTAACTTGTAAAACTTCATACAGCTAAGCGATAGACATAGACAATGCAAGTGTTCTTTTTGTTCATCTTGCACAAATATTTTTGAAGCCTCCTTCACAGTTATTTTCCTGAAGAAGTCTAACATTTGCTATGATTCTGTACTGAATCATGAAAATACAATTTGATATTTAGTTATGGCAATTAATTGGTTTTTAATTATAATTCGCTCAACATTTATGTTAAAGTTATAAAAAATAAATATCAAAGTCAATCACCTTTGTTTTTCTTTTCCTTTTACATGCTAAATTATGAGATTGGCCCATTAAGAGAATATGTAGGCTTTTAAGTAGCTCTTACTGGCTGGGTTATCCCTTTTGCTCCCAGATTTCACTAGGTATTCTCCTCACTGTCTGCCTAATTCTTATGACATTAGTTCGAAGAATTTGGTATTGGATCAAGTAATGATCCCTTAAGTAATATGTTTCTTCAGTGGCATCACTTGTCTGCCTGATACTACAGAAAAGAACTATTTGTCAATCCTCCTGCCAATCAAAGTCACTTGAAAATTTCAAAACACAAGTCCGTGAGTTTCTTGAGCTAATTTCAGACATTAAGTCTTTGACTCTGCTGTCCTGAAAACTTTACCTCCAGGAAACACTTCATTTAAACAATTATTTATCTAATAAAATTTTACC